TACACGGTAAACATCACGCAAGGAATGCAGACGTGACTGAAATCGTTCAATCCGATAATCTTTCATATCAAACAAAGTAAAAATATGGATAGACTTATTCTTATTGTAGTAATTTAAAGGTTAAGTATTAAACCACAATATCCCGAAAATCAGACAATTTTCGAAGTGTCGGTGATAGTTCGCACCGTGCTAACGATCTCAACAAGATGGTTATCCGCTCTATAAAACCATAATCGCTTCAATATTCATCTAGGAATACTCCCGCGTGAATAGCATTGTTTTCTTTAATCCTGAAGAGACAGAATTCCTCATCAAATTGAAAATTTAGGCTATGCAACTCAGAATCAAACAGCCACGTTGCGGCTTCACTCAGCCTACGATCGGTTTACATCTCGCCAAGGAAAATGCACTATTTGGCTCGATACACCAACCTTGATGACCTAAACCAATGTCATAATATATGCTTCGACACAGATGAATGTTTTGGAATAACAAAAGGCCTCGAATATCAAAGAATTACTATAAAAGCTACAGCTCCCGGKCAGGTAACTGTTCTATTACACGATTGTACATGTTTACAGCTGAGTTCGTAATGTGATATTTCGTGATAGATCGGAGGGCGATCGGGAGACCCGAAGGCAAACTTCTGACTTGGAAAAAAAAACACAAAAAACTATACGCGTTGCATTTTATGACTCGTGACCCGGCCAAGGGCCTGGTCACGAGTAATAATAGACTGTCTTGGGATTATGATGAGTAAYAAAGTCTACAACAAGATGCCATTGGCAACATAACTTGGAGATTGTGAGAGCTTTGCAAGATGGTCATAGATGTTTTTGAAGTTTTTTATCAACAAATAATTTTACCGAAGATCATTTATAAGGCCGTGAAAGCTACATTTTACAATAGACGCCATGTTGACACGTACTCGAAAGCGAAATCCCAGTCAAAACTTATTTCAATCGTTACATTTCTACGCCAAACAATTTCCCAATTTTTTCTCCTCTTGAATCCAGGTTTTTAACGTACTGCGATGGTTCAGTTATTGTCGGTATTAAAATATCGATTCAATCCACAGCATATAACACAGGAAACCCATCATGCTGAACCTGATTTATTTACCGATCGCAAAAATAAAAACAATGTCTTAAAAACCAAACTTTATTACATGTTTGTTAGTATTAGAAAAGGAGAAAAGAAAAGAAAATCTCCGAAACATCTAAAAGAAAACGTTTTKTCGCCAACTGGACTCGAACGGCGGACCCTGTCTGTGCTCCCTAAAAAAGTATTAAAATAAGCAAAACGTCGTCACATGGGGGTCGTGGTCGAGTGGTTTAGGGCGCTGAAAAAATAAGGCGACATATGGAGAATTCGATAGCTAGCGGGACTTCAAGWAAAAATATTTAATTTGCTTAGCTAACAAACACAGAGAAATGCACAGGAAGACCGTGTGATGATGACCAATTTATAATTTATATGACCTCATAATTACTATAGCAACAAGGGCAGTTTTGCATCGAAGCGAGACGACCGTTGAGCATCCAATGATAGAAACCTTCTTTATACACAGGTATCTATCGTTGCACGCTCAACGGTAGCCTCCGGCTTCGATGTAAAGGCACGGCTACCTTTCAAGATGGCGCACGTAACCGTGAAGGAGACTATTGTTTGATATTAGTTGATAAAAAATATGTACTCACTATTTTTTCTCGAGCAATGACGAAATGAACGAACTCTATTCCGTTTCTGGCGGTTGAGAGAGGTGAGAGAGACTTGTAAAACTCAAAAAGTACCCAAAAACCCTTTCGGTGTTAGCGATGATAATGTCACCTGATGTGCGCATGACAAAGTGTTTTCGCTGAGTATTCAGTTCACTGTACTTTAATTTCGGCAAACATTCCTTCTCGAATCATTTTTGCTCTTTCCTTAGCAACAATAGTCTCTTCTCCCATCTTTTATGGGCTCGCTATCAGGATTCTCACCCTGGGAACAATTAGTCTGTTACGGATGAGAGATGGCTTCATACAATTCATGAATAAAGCGGTTTGAAGACGTCTGCCTATATGTAAGCTCGTCGTAAACATAAACATAGAGAAAAGCAGAGGCGTTGTTAGGGCTCTCTCGAACAAAGTCAATTGTGTAAAATATAACTTTATCACAACTTTCATTTCAAGCCGTTTTTATATATGGCGTTTTTTAATAGTTACACTGAAGTCAGTCTACACTGAAGTCAGCATCAGTTAACGAAAATAAAAGAAGACTTGAAAAAAAGGAAACATTTCCAAAAGAACCAAAATGAACATTTCAGTTGAAACGTCGAAGAATCCGCCCAAGGCGAACAGTTTCCTCATATCTAGCTCCAGGAATCGATCTAATTAAAATATATTGTTTTTATTTTGTGTTTCCGCTTTCTTGAAGAGTACCATCTGATATCTGGTGATGGCTCAGTTAGACATGAAACTGTAGTGTTTCAATAAACGATAGCACTAATTGCATCATCTTTTGTTGATTTAATTATAATAATTGTCTTAATCACCATCATCATTATTATTATCATAATCACAAACACCGTCAACATTATAATCAATGCTATAATAATTTCATTTAAGCAAAAGTTTTTAAGTTGGTCTCAGTTTTTCATCTTCAATCCAGACAACTTTGCAATGGAAAATCTCCGTATTGCACTGGACAATCTTGTTAGTACCACTTAAAGCTCATCTCAAGCCAARGAAAAAGCCAGAGCAAAGTGGGCTTATCCTGTCATTATTCTTTACTTTTGATGTCAAAAGATATAAGTTTTTAAGTGAGCTATTAAGTTGAAAGACTTTTATGTCATACTAATTATAAACGATCTGCACCATAATGATAGGTATTTGAGAGAAGAGAAATAATCTTCTAGTGTTATCACGGACACATACACACATTCATTCTCCAGRTCAAAGTTACGAACGCTTATACTTWACTCATTTCAACGTCAAAAAAATCTTTTCTGATGTCATCGGAGAGTATGGCTATATTTATAAGCTCAAACGACATTTAATAGCAATCGGGTCCTAGAGCAGCTGAGTTGCGGCAAGATAATCCTTCCGATCAAGGTAAAACTGTATTTCTATTTTTTTWATACTATTTTTTTCCGTAGCTGCAAATAGCATAATAGTTAATAATATTAACTTTCTATAACTRTTGACTGAGGCATCGCAAAATATAGAAGTAAAAAAGATAATCCTGATTGTGATCACACGTACATGCAGTTCAAAAACGACACCAAAACATCCTAAAAAACGTGACTATTTTGCATTTTAACTACTTAAYATTTGGACTATTTTGACTATTGTGCTTTAAGATTTGATTTGAAAAATGTAAGGTGTTTTATTGTAATAATGACGTCATAATGAAATATTTAATCTAATTAAACACAAGATAAGATTGTAAGAGCTACACAATACATTCTTGTACATATTAAGAATCCAAAAGAAATTAGAAAAGTATGGATTATCCAGGAAGGAATATAGGCTTTGAGTACTCAATCAGTTTGTACCTATAGATTGTTGAGAATTGATAATATCGTTTATAAAAGTCGAGAAATTGAAAGCGGAGACCCGATTAAGCGGTCTTAGATCGTCATACAGATGACATCAGTGTACATTCTTCCGCTTGCCTATCATTTATCACGCAGGTTTTAAAAATCTCATCTACCAAACGCTTTTCTAAATGCATCCTGTGCACGGTTCCTTTTATGTATGTAATTAGTCCTAATCGAGAATTACAAATGGGCGGTAATTAGCCAAATTAACGCTGGAATCGATAATAAATACAATTATAATGGTATCTTTGTTTTTTTGTCATTATGTTTATTTTAGATGGCCATGAGGGACTTCTTGAATCATCTAAAATAAGTCTTTTGTTTATGCTTCTTTTGAACAGCTTTTTTGCATCATGCTGTCATCGAATTCAAAGATAGGGGAAAAAATAGAATTATAATAATAATAATAGTATTTGCACTTGTTGATGTTTCTGACGAGCATTTTCCGTTTCTGTAGATTCAGTTGTTTTCTTTGTGGTCAGTTAAGAAGTGCAGTAGCTAGAAAGCCCAATGAATACCAAATCTTCTTATTKAAAATTGTACCTGTCAATCAATCATGATTATTCGCACAAATCGTCCATCCGATAAGTTAGTGCTTTGATATAAGTTTACATTGATGTCGCTTCAATTAAGACAGCGAAGAATGGTAAGCGTAAGATCTTTCTCTATATAGTGAATATATT